CTAAGCATATTTTTCTTAAGAGGGTTCCTCTGGGAAGGCTGGTTGACTTCACCTGGTGCTATCACTGAGCTCCTCTTCCTTCCTCTGCCCCAGCCTGACCTGACCTCTGCAAGGCTGGTGGCCTCCACCTCTTTTGGGCCCCAGGGTAAACTCAGCCTTCCCAAATGTAGCTCAAGTGACAAAGACATTTCTCTGTCTTCTCTCAAAAAGTCTCTTCGTACTGCAGGAAAGGACTGTACGACATAGTTATTGTCGATAAAAGTCTGAGATTTTATTAAATTTAAATGTCAAATCCCCGAAGCCATGAAAATGGTGAGGATGCATCACTGCTTATTAAGGTATTTTCAGTACCTGGAAGGACAAACCTCCTGTCACCAGAAATTGTCCCCAACACCCCAAGTTAAATGAAACTGAGTGAGGATCAGTCCTATAAAGCCACATAGAGCAGGGAGGGAAACTTCTGTTTCATCTCTTGAGGTAGCTGCTTAATTTAGAAGTCTATAGTTGACATGGTAATAAAATTTTGCCTCTTGAGCTTAAAATAAATTATTTTTTCTTTTTGGTGTAGCTTGCTACAAGGAAACACTCTGGGCAGACCTATTCAAAGCTGTGTCTTGTCCGAGGTGCTCCCTGCTAGTGATGCTTCCTCCCTGACAGCCACAGCCTGGTCTCCTGACAAAACACTGCTTGAGGATCAGAAGAATGTACCCTATTGCTAAAGGTGGGAGTATTTTCCCAAGCATCACTCACTCTTCACACTTGTCTTCAGGTTAAAATTCCCTTAGCGGACCTCTGAGCATCTCCTGAGGGCTCAGTCCTCTGGGGAAAGCTCCTGTATTCCACTGGGGAAGCTTCTCAAGCATGCCTTTCCCTCGGGAGGAGCTTATTGTTTTTCAAAGAGACATTGGATTGCTTTTTTTAAGGAAATGGCAGCACATTCCTAACCCACTCCATACTTAGCAGGTTGTATGGGGATCCTATTCTCTCTTCCAAAAAGCCTGGATGGGCAGCAAGTTCAGGATGGTGACATCATTCACATCAGAATGGAAGGGGCTGGGTAGGCACTGCTGGTCCATCTGCAGCACCAGCCAGGCTCAGGCATTTAGGAACCCTAACAGCTAGAAAGCTCTTTTTTCTTAAACACTACCAGACATCCTGAAGACTAAGAAACCAAGAAGAGGGAGGTGCCTGCAGCCTGCAGAATGAATTTTAGCAAATGAAATTATTGGGACATAAGCCTGCCTTGATTTCACAGCCCTAGAGGTGAAGTGAAGCATCTGCAACTTCCTTCTTAACACTTTTGTATGCATTAATGCTATTCCAAAGAAACTCTAGGAAAGCTTACCCCTATTAAACCCCAGAGTTACTCGTAAAAGTTTATTTGAGGAACCAGCCTGTCTCTTTCCTTGTGTTTTTCGTTTGAGTTCTCTTATTTCTGCTGCTGTTTCATGATTTTGCTCCTCTAGTATCTCTTCACTCCTGCTGTGAGCAGCACGAGGCAGGCAGAGGGAAAGAGAAGGGAAGTGGGGCTCCCTTGTCTGCCAAGATGTGAACTTTGAATTTAGCTAACCTGGGTTTTACTCTCTGCTTCACCACTCCCAGTGTAAATTTCTCTCAATCTTCATTTCCGTCCATTAAAAGGGTAATTCGTACCTAACATACTTTAGTCTATGTGCCCCCCCCCCCCCCAAAGTCTCAGGATATTTAAACATAAAACACATAAAAGTCAACAAAGCTATCACCTCATCTACCCCTTTTACTCTGAGGTGAGACAAACTAACTAAAATGCACTTACAATATGTTTGATGGAATTTTTAGTGGTAGAGCTGCCTAAAGATTAAAGCTGCACAGCTTTCCTAAAAACAATTGTTCAGGTGCTTATTGCTCCACTGAGAGCTTTCACACACCTTGAATTGCAGTTCGTCTTTTTATACATAGATCAGTCCAAGAACAAATTTGCACGAGTTGTGAAAGGCAGAACGAAAGGCTTCTGTACATGTATCAGCAGTACAAAGGAAAGGAAAAGAGAGAAAGAGGAAAAGAAAGAAAAAGAGAAAAAAAAAAAAAAAAAAGAAAGAAAAGGCAAGCCTGCTGCTCCCAGTGTGGCATGAGACCTAGAGATTAAAGACATCAAAAAGGCCGTGGTACCCAGTACCTGTTTTCTCTTCTAACAGTTTTGGGCTTCCCCACACAGTAAGACAAGGCCTTACTGGAGCAAGTCCAGCAGAAGACCATCAGTGTGGTCAGGGGGTGTAAGTACACAGTGCCCAAGGAGGGGCTGAGCTGAGTGTGCTCAGCCTTAAGAAGAGAAGGACTTCTGATGGTTTGTGAGGGGAGAAAGAAGGTAAGAGCCAGACTCAGCTTGGGGGCACACAGAGATGAAAGGAGCATCCACAGCCACTTGTGGAACAATGGATTGTCTGTTTAGATACCAGGATGGTTTATTTATTTCTCTGAGGGTAGTAAAAAACAGAAACAAGATACCCACAGAGGTTGTGGTATTTCCATCCTTTGAGTTACTGAAAACTTGACCTCCAGAGGTCTGATCCAGCTATAATTCTACAGCTGTGTTCTACAGTTCTACTTGATGACTCATGGCAAAGGAAGCTGCAGGGTGACAAGTGGAGACCATGCCTCCCTGACTTACAGCAGATCTCTAACTGATGGAAAGTCTTTGCCGTTACAGACATGTTCTATCTATATTTACCTTTAAAAATCTGCTCTATCAGGGCAGATTTTCTACAAAGAACACAAGTTTGTATTACAGACCTTATGCTTCTGCAAGCAACAAAACATTTTTCCTGAGCAGAGAGGACAGGATCAAATAAGACACTTCAGTATTACAATCTTCCACTAGGGTAAAGGCATGTTCCTAACAGCTTCCTTAATACCAGAACACTTCATCAAACCCTTTCTCTATCCCTAATCACACGCACAGTAACATCTGTGCAAGCCAGTTGGCTCTGGACAGCTCCTGTGGTTCTTGAAAGACTATTTCTTGGCAGGTTGTGTTTTTCACTCTAATTGAAAGGTTAATAAAATCAGTCATACTTGTATGTTAGCTAAATAAACACACTGTCTCCACTGATGATGAAACAGATGCATTACCACTCACGCCTCCCACGGGGTTCATTTGTTCCATGATCGCATTTGGTTTCCTTCAAGCTTCTCTGTGCGGTACCTGACAGCATTTTGGATGGTTTTCATAAGGAAATTTACCTTTCAGATGCTACTGCATTCACATGTCTCAACTCTAGTAGCCTTTGGCAAAGGTATTACAGATCCTCAACATTTCTTCACTGTGGAAAACGTGGAAGAAGCTAATTCTAAAAAAAGTTGAAACTTAGTGACCATAAATGCATTAAGGAGTCAAGCAGCTAATGTTGCTGAGGCTGAAACTGCCAACGCATCCAAACCTGGCTTCTCTCTGCCTCTCCCTCAGGCCGAGGCTCATCTTGCACCAAGCTGTTTCTCCAGGTCTCGTTGGCTTCTACAACCAGTCCTGCAAATTCACGCGCCTCGAGTTTGATTTCAGGAGCAGCTGAACTCCTGACACGTGCACGTGTCTCTTTGAAACCAGCATTTACATTTGAAAGGGCAACACATGGTTGGTAAGGCAGGCAGAAGACATGCTGAATGCACAACAGGCAGAAAACAACATATTCAGCTTAAGTTCTGTGTAGCACATTTCCAAACATTCAAAAGCTGCAACAGCTGGTCCTTGTATGAAAGGAAAAGGCACCTCACAAATCTTTCTGCAACCTGGTAATTGGTACAATGAAGAAAAATCTCAAGCCATACAAAGATTAACAGAGATTTAGATAATTTCAATATTATACTCTGAAGTGGAAAAAAAAAAGGTGTACTTATTTGTCCATTAAAAAATAGTACTTATGCAATGCATCTCTGAAGTTCTTTAGGGTGGGATTCATCTTACTTATTTTCTGTGTTCTGAAAGATGTAGGTAATTAAACTAGTCTGCTGAACTGTTAAGAGGTGTGGTCTCTGCAGGGCTCTTTAAGTTAGGTTTTAGGAGACGTTCTCTTCCCTCCACTGAAAGGGAAACCAGACTTGCCAGGTCTGCATATCCCAACAATTTAAGTGATTTGCACAACTCATCAACCGACAATTAACTCCCACTATTTTTAAAATTAAAGCTCAAAATCATGCCATGGACTTCCAACCTCAGGTCTCTACGTTACAGACTTTCCCTTAATCTGTATCGTAATGAAGAGGAAACTGAGGAAATGAAGAGGAAGTGGAGAGCTGAACATCACACTAGGAAAAGGCATAAAACATATATGTTTATAACATAAAACACTGACATAACAAGTAAAGGGCATTTGTGAAGAAGTACCATTTTCTCCCACACCTTTCTAAGCTTCAATTCACCCAAAACCATCTTGAGCCAAAGCACAACATTCTCATTTATCACATTTCGTCACCTTACCAAAAGTCTCGCTGGTAGAAATTTTACCATTCTCGTGATCCTCACGCAGCCCCTTATTACTTACGACAGAAAAGCCAAATCAGGAGTAGCTCAGGATATGGAAATAGCTGAGGAACCCGAGCCAGCAATAACCAGCAACAGGCACAGAACTGACCTCTGTGGGACGTCATTTATCTTGACAGTTACCACACTGTGTTCTTACAGCAGGAACTTGTCAGTCACTTAAGCTCTTTGTTGAACTGAGGCACTGGGAGAAAGGCAGGACAATCAGTGGTCCGGCACGAGATGGATTTACACTTTAGGCCACAGCACAAAAGAGAGATTTGAAATGAGCAGTTTTCATGATGAGGGAGTACAGATACTCACTTGTCTGTACGGCATCAGAGCTGAATGCCTTGCTGATCAGGGACTAAATGCTTTTAGGATCACTTTTTTATCTACTGGAGTCTAAACTGATATAAATGGTCAAGTCAGATTATTAGAACTGTTGTGTGTTTTAGAAAATACGACTGAATATAGATTTGGGAGACTGTTTTTTAATATTTATTTAGTAAAACTCACTATACAAACAAGAAGTTATCACAACAGTGTAATAGGCAGGGTTGTAGTTTCTCCTTCCTTCAAGCTGCTTCTTTGCTTCAGTAAAAACACATATATACAGTTACAACTATTTCCCTTTAAAGCACTGGGATTCATATATTAAAACATACCTGGTAAAATAAGCTTAAAATAATTTCGCATTGCTTGGAAAAAGATTTGAGTAATTTACTCTTACCAGAGTGCCATTGCTGCACAGTATTCAAAAAAATGAACAACCACTAAAATATAGAGTAAAACATTTAAAAGTACATTTATTTCAAATGTGGGCAAAATATCAATATAAAAGAAAATAGAGTATAAGAAATAAAAATAAAGTACAAAACATTTTCATCTTTGACATCCATAATTTAATAGATAGCAAGCCCTTTCATTTTTACATCCAAATTACACTTTTGGCTGAAGTACCATAATTTATTTTAAAATGCTTAAAAACGGGCTAAACATGATACCTAAACTGGGCTCTTTTAAAATGGTAGTATAATACAAAACATAGTAAATTATGTTTCAGCATAATAAAATTACACATCCTAAAAAAGATGCAGTTTATTTTTGCTTTCCTGCTTTAAACTGCTCATCATCCCTAGGAAAAAAACAGCTGGAAAACAGCATCCACAGGAAGTTCTAGTTGCTTTGTACAATGGCTGAACAGCTAGATATAAGGCTCCAAGGATTCCGAAGCAGTAAGGCATTTTCCTATCCATCAAGTAAATTTATATGTATGCTTGTTAAGGAAGAACAACTGTAAGAAAATGACTGCAAAATACAGCTTTTATAACGACACAGAGGCCTTCCTGGTCTCCCCACTGCATTTATCAAACAGGGTCCATAATTTTCCTCAGTAAAAAACTATTTTCCTCATCTGAAGTAACTCGTGACAAGCATTTTCCTTAGCGGCAATTTTTTTCCCTGCTGCTCAATATTCTATCCCTTTTCCTTTGTGATAACCCTGCCTCCCACCTCCCCTGAAGTATTTCCTATCAAAAAGTAATTCCACTTTGAATTTAAACTAGAGGTTTGGGTGTTAAACTACCCTCCTACCAAGTAAACATTATACATCCTAAAAAATTATGATTAATTTGTTCCTAATTAAAAAAACTTTTGGTAAATCACTCTTCCCTAAGCAGCAGACAGTCTTTACACAAAAAGGATATGATTCATAATCCAGTGTTTGAGTAAGTACTCCAGTCAGGACAAACTCAGCATTGTGGACATCTGGAAATATCAAAAATATAAGTTTACACCCTACATAGACATTCTGCCTCCTTCTGCAGGTGGGTCAGGAGGGGCCATTCTGGACCTTTCTGCCCTTCATGCAAAGACACGAGGGGTATTGTCCCACCACTACCAGAACCCCACTATGAGCCATCACATTTTTTTACTTGGATACAGGTAATTTTCTTCTTAGTAGCCAGTACAGTTCTGTGTTTTGAATTTAGGATGAGAATAATGTCGATAACACACTGATGTTTTAGCTTTTGCTGAGGAGTTCTTACCCTAAGTCAAGGTCTTTTCAGTTCCCTGTGCTCTGCCAGGGAGCAGGTACACAAGGAGATGGGACGGAGCATGGTCAGGACAGCTGAACCCAACTGGCCAGAGGGATATTCCACACCACAGAATGCTGTGCCCAGCATATGAACTCTGGGAGGAGTTGTCTGGGAGCCACTGATCACTGCTCAGGGATGGGATGGGCATCAGCCAGTGGGTGGTGAACAATTCTGTATTTGTGTTGTGCGGCACTTTTGTCACTAGGGGTTTATTCCCCTTTCTCTCTCCTTTTCATTAGTATTGTCATTACTATCAGTTTTAATCTATAATCAATACTATTAATTAGTATTAATAGTAATGACCATGGTGATGAATGTTATTGTCATTAGTATTAGTAGCACATTATCTTATCTTGTTTCAATTATTAAACTGTTCTATCTGAACCCATGAGGTATACTTTTTTTTTTTTTTTTAAATTCTCTTTCTCTCTAGTGTTGGGGTAGAGGGAGCCAGGGCACGTTAACTTAGTTGCCTTCTGGGCTGAAAGCACAGAACAGGTAATTTTGCCTCACATAGGACTGAAGCCCCAAGTTCAAGCCTACCCTTCCAGAGATTTACAGTGACCTCTCTCTATATATACTATTCATATATATATATATATATATATATATACTATTCAAATCACAATGAAAGCTTACACATACCTATGCCCCTTGCGAAATATTCTCGACATAAATGAAGGTCATTTTCACAGGAAATTAAGATTATCTCCGGCAAACTCTAAACGAAAGAAACTAATGGTAAGCTCAGAGGAACACAGGAAGGTATTGACAGTAAATTTTAGAAAGCAACACTCAACACACCTTATTCTGCTTATGCTCCATGAGTTTTCGAAAAGAAGGTTGTTTAGATAATACTTTTCCTCCTGCGCACTCCACAATAGCTTTCATGGTGGAAAGACTGGGACAAATTCCAGGTGTAATGTAAAAATACTTTCCCTAAAGAGAGGAAAAGAAGAACAAGAAAAAACACATTATTTTGTTAACTGATATGTGCAACACATGAAGTTTTATTGTCATGTGACTTCTCTCTTATACAAGCACGGGGCAGGCTTTGAAAGCTGGGGCTGGCTATGGGGGATTTTGGACACAGATTGATCATCTGGTCAGTTGTCCTGATGTTTTCCCCTGGAGGGGCAAACCCACAATTTTGATCAATTTGAAAAGTATAGGTGTGCCCATTTCAACAGCTGTAAAATAACCACCAGGAAATCTTCAAATGACCACTGTGGTTCCCAAAAAAACCCCAAAACCAAAAGTAAATGCATGTGGTAAGACACGTAAGAACAACAATGCTCCTTTGCTTCTTCAAGCGCAGGGACATCTCAAGTGTTACAAAAGAACTTTTACCTTTCAATTAACAGCCAATTTATTACTTCCTGACACATATTATCCTACTACTTTGCTCAGACTGCTACGGGTGATCAGATCATAAAGTAGATTATCTCTGCTTACCAGCTAGGAATAAAAAAATAGAAAAAACTTTGCTATTTACACTGCAAAATTAGGCAAAACATAGCGCTTAAACTTAATAAAAGATGTAGATTTTTACTCATTACAGGTTGAAAAAAAATACCCTTTTAAGGTGGTTTGCCTCAATAAACAGTCTGAAATTCAGTTAGGCTGAACAGTCTCTAGCAGCTCAGATCTCCAGATACCTCTCTGCACTGCAATGTAATTTTAACCTGGGGCATGAAAACATCCCAGCAAACAGCCTGGTGGATAGTGGTGTCTCCAAGAAGAATCAGATCAGAACTCCCTGAGACCGGAGCGCAAGCTCATTCTCAGACTCCCATTTTCATGGGCAAGAGCTCTGACTACCAGGCTGGTGTAAAAAAGAAAAGAGAAAAGAAAGAAGGTTCCTTCCATAGGTGACTTTTTACAAGTAACTGAGCAATGTTCTAAATTTTGTAAGGGAACAAATACTGTTAATATATTGAGCATGTTTTGTTCATACCTACAGGATCCAGTCACTTCCCTTATACCACCCCAATGATGCTTAGGCAGGAAATAGGCATAAAGTCAAAAATAAAATTTACAACAAATGCTTTCTGTTATATGCCAGTCTGTTATATTGCCTTCAGCTATAAAACCTGTGGTCCCAGTGCTGAAACAACCAGGCTGAAAAACTCCGAGTGTTTGAATGTCATGTTAAACTGCATACCTTGAACAGTGGAGCTACTTGTGCTCTCTTTAGAGACTCCTCTAAACTGAAGCAGAAAAGCACCTCAGCTTCAGCATCTCTGAGCACGAAGTTCTGCTCATCTGAAAAAGAAAGACTGAGGATTTAACACACAAAATACAAACATCCATGTGACCCAGGATGTGATCTGTGGGGGCCAGGTGGCTCTGAATGGAAAACATACTGTAATTTTAACATGATTACAATACCCCCTCTTTAATGGCTCCTTACAACGATGACCCCCAACTACCTGGAGAATTAAACTGTTTTACACTTGCATATCTAACAGTGATCACTGCACTATCAAGTCCCTTTTTCTAACTTTGGAGGAACCTGCAAACTTTCACTTGCTGAGAAACTGTCTTCAAGTCCTAACACAGTCTTCACAGAGAAATCTTTCCATTTCTTTCATTTGCCCTGTTATTCAGCCAATTTTTTCATTTTTTTTCCTTAGGGATAGAATTTCAATCTTTATCTTTCCACAAAAATCTATGTCAAACATATTTCTAAATCAAATGTAATTCAAAACCCCTAAGCTCAAAGAATAAAGGAAAAAAAATGTATTTTTATACAGGGAATAAATTGGTCCTTCCAAGGGCAATTCTGACAACCTGCAAGAGATGGTGTTAATACTCTTCTGAAAGACAAAGGGAACTAGTAGGACAATTTTTGTAAACAATTGCCATATTTTCCATCATTGTAGCACGTACAAAACTGGAGGCAGCCCATTAGCTACAAATCAACTCAATTTCAATAGACAAGTAAAGTACTTCAAGTATTAGATGAAAATAGTCATTTTAAATTCCCTGATTTTCTTCATCTTCCAAAATAGCTTTCAAATGAATTGATTTCTCAGTTCACTGGTGCTGAAGTAAGCAAATTGCCTTCTTGAGATTTATAAAAATGTTTGTGGTTTTATTAGCTAATTATCCTTAGATTTAAGTCTTTATGATGGTTAGGCAATGATGTCATATATTTTCTTCTTACAAACAAATCATATAAACAGCACAAAACGATCATACACCAAATAATCAGCTTTCAAGAAAGCTACATAATGGAACTACAGGTAAAAATCTACAAAATGACTACACAAGACAGAAGTACAAGGTTTAACAACATCTAATATTTAATCATCCTAAAGTAAACCTTTCAAGTATGTTTTTCTTTCATTTAAGGCAAAGAAACTGTATCAAATCAAATGAAAACTAAATGAAACAAAATGTTCTGTTGAAAGATAACTTGTTTAAAGAAAAAAAAAATCAAATCAATCCACAGCTTTACACAACCATAGTAACATAACCTTCTAACTCAAGAGGAATACAAACTAGCTGCTAAAATAATTATTTAAAAACGTTGCACATCATTCTTCAAGAGGTGTGAACAATGATAGAGCTGCTATAGAATTAAAATCTCTGCTTTCAGAAACTGAACTCTTTAGAAAACTGGTAGGAAACACCCAAGTCAGAAGTCAAAACAACAAAGTATATTTAAATATGTCAATGAACCCCAAGTTTACTACAGGAATTGATACTAATTTAACTTACCAACAAATTTCTGGCATTTGAAACACTCTTCTAACCACTCTGGAGTTACTATGTGCTTGACTACAGAAATTGCTGTCAGGAACTTGACAGTTCGGGTCACTTTACTGGCAATTAGATGGGTACATTTCTGGGCAGAGTCTGCTACTTCACCTCCAAGGATATACAGTTTCTGAAAGTTGTATCAAACACAAATTTAAATGAAGGAGTTGTTAAATAACTGGAGGAAAAACATAAATGCAAAATCATATCATCAAATAAAACTAAACTCCTAATGAAACAGCAAACACAGATTTCTGTATTACAGTCATTCCTTTACTAAAGCTGATTAATTTTGACAGAATTTACAGCCATTGAAAATCCAGGTATTTCCAGGCATAAACATCACCTGGCAAGACTGAAAGCTATTTCCTGCTTCTGCAGTTTTTTTATTATGGGTTGTGCTTTTTTAAAGCAAGGAAATAACTGTAAATTACAAATGAAAATCTTTTTTAAGTGAGACATGGTATTGAATTGAAGTAAGAAGAGTATTTAATAAGTTTTTTCTGTGGAAGGTGTAATAAACATTTGTTGTAGCTACAGCAAACCTAATTTTGCTAGTATTTTCTTTGAAAAGCATCTCATGCAAAACACATGTTCTTTAAATACACTAGTTCCCCACATATTTTTGATGATACTGAGCAACTAGTTCCTTGGTTTAAACTACCAAACCCAAACTATCTCATCACAGTTGCTATCTTGTCAATTAAGACAGTCATTATCTGAAGGGATAAGTAACAAAGCAAATCAGCTGGTGAGGCACATCAGATTACCACGGGTGTTAAGAGATAGAATGCTCCCTTTTTAAAAATTTCAAGAATGAAAAAATATTTGGACAGCTTTAATAACTATGCACTGTGGATTTCTGATTTTCTATGACAAACGTTTTGCACAAATAAATTAAAAAAACTCCACCAATATCTTAAAGTATAAATATTTAACATACTAGGGTGATTCTGTTACATCAGTCATTGGGAGTCCCCCGAGCCTAAGGGGTGTATTGGAAGTCCTGAGAGGCCTCTGGCAGCCCCCTTTAATGCTCTGATGATGATGAACACACAGGATAGACAGGGACAGTACTTTAAGCTTTTTTTTGCCGTGCTTGCTTTGATGGTTTGCATAAAGATGACACACAAAAGTATTACTCAGTGACTCAACCTCTCTACTGTTTATTTCCTTCAGGGCATGTATAAACACTCTGACAGTACACTGCACCCCTACAGAAGGCAAAGGCTGCTATTTCTATGTTCACCCCAAAACACTTCTACCTGTGAGTGCAAATATTGCAAGATTTCCGTTCTGATGTGCAAGGAACCCTTTGGGCACATAGATAAAAATACTGCCCCTCCATCTCAAGAAGATGAGAAGCAGCATCCAACCCCAAACTCTGCAAAATCTTGATGGCATCAGCACTGCCAGGTTTAGATTCAACTTCACAAGCCTTAAGGCTGATGTCAATTTTTTAGACTTGTGAGCCATAACTGTTACCAAAACAGATTCTCCATACAATTAACCTGGGACCAACATGAACAAATGTGAGGAGCTGACACTGGAACTTTATGGGATACACTGAAAAATATTTTCTGTCCCAAAATATTTAATATCTAGCTTCAAATGCAAACACTGAAAGGGGAAAAAAACCTCCCAAGGCCAACTACTTTAAAAAAAAAAAAAAAGTTTAAGTGTAATAAAGAAAGTATTAGATATTTCTGAGCACACCAAAGTGGTACATATTTCTAAGAAATGAAGTGGACGCAAACTCGGCCTCATTTACATCTCGTTATCTGAATGTTACATATTATTTAGAGCTAAGTTACGAGACAGCTTTATCATGGAACAGAACAAAACCTCAATAGGAACTTCTCTCACACCTGCCATAAGCTTTGTCATGAGATTTCTTTGAAGCATTTGGCACTACAGATAGCAACTCCACCAGAATAAACCTGGGTCTTATCCAGTACAATCATCACTACTTTTCTCACTTAACTCTGGTAATGAAATTTAATGATTTAAATCAAATGCAGAAAGGGCTTTCTTGCTTTTTAAAGCAATCACACAGAAAGTTAAAGCAACTAGCACAGTAGTATGAAGTAGTTAACTAAAGCAGAACAAATAAACTCACTTCACATAAACTTAGTTTAACCTCAAGCCCAGTAAATACAGGTTTTTATCCACACTAGATGGATATATGCTAATCAAGTCTTAGCAAAAATTCAACATCAATAAAAAATTATCAGATGTTTCAGTGTAGTGCACAAGAGATAAGCTTGAAAGTTACCTTAATGTACTGTTGCACTTGCATAGGTTCAAATCCTGTGAAGAGCACCATAGGTGTCAGCTCGGGGGTGAGTTTTTTAGTAGGTGGTGGTAGGTCTTCAATCCTACAAAATACAGGAAATACAGGAAAATGTGATGTTTGGGCCCAAAGCTGTGTAATTAAACTTTTGAAATCAGATAAGCACACTCCTGCCATTTTTGCCAATACAATGACCCAGATGAATGAGAATTAGGCAGGACTTTTTCTGAAGAAAAAACTACCATCCTGAGAACAGGGCAAATTCTCCTATTTCTGTTCTCTCCCAATTCTCCTACTACTTCACTCTCTAGTTATTGTTTTATTCCTGCCAGTTGAGTAGCTGGCAACATACAAAAAACACTGGTAAGTTATTTCAATGAAGCTGAAATTTCCGAGGAAAGTCAATTAAGGACTATGGGCATTGACTACTCTCTGTTCTTACCTCGCTCTTTTGGAAGACGGTTGAAGACTGGATTCATTTTGCTTTGGTTTTAAAGGCAACCTCACCCCCTGAAATCAGACCACGTGCATGTTTATATCAGAATTGAGCAGGGAAACCAACTTCTACTGTGAAAGAGAAAAGCTGTACAACCATATTCCAGACTATATTAAAGACAATTAAACAAATTAAAATGCTGTGACACATGGCACACATGCTGCTTACACAACCTGCCCTAGAGCAAAGCTGGGTGTTGACCAAAGCTTCTCCACAAACCTATGTAACCATGTAAGTGTACCCCAAACAAGATACTGTGGGACTTTTTTTCCTTTAAAGAACACTGACAAACATAAATGGAAAACCCAGTGAATTAAATGAGAAGGAGACTGAAAAGCCTGCCCATTTGTTAAAAACATGAAGACTACAATATTCTTCCTGGTGCTAAATATCATGGAATGGCAATATTCCAACAAATACTGTTTTAAACTCATGTTCCCTAACTACATAAACAGAAGCAGGATAGACACTCCCACTTCCCCAGTACCAGATCAGCCTCTAAAGCATTTGCCCAGGGTAAAGAAATACAGCTTTTAGACTCTCCTTGGCCTGAGAAACTTGAAACCACAGCTCCCAGGTGAGGAGTGTGTGACATCTATTCCTTTTTAACCTTCAAATCGACACCTGAAATTTAATTAGGGCCCAGGACCAGAAAAGACAGGCAGCATTGTTCCAGCCTTACTGTGAGGATGTTCCTTTGGGAGGAACAGGCCATAGGGGTTTGTTCCCTGCTCTCAGGGACAGGCATTTTTATGCCAGACAACTGCTAGTACAAGCAGCTGGAAAGAACAGTGCACACATCCACTTTTTGACAGACATTTCAACCATGAAAATGCAAGAGGTAGGTGGCATCAACTCTGTCTGACAAGACAGCCATCCTCACAAGAGGACCCTAAATCCCAGGACAAATAGAAATGCCTACAGTGAAGGCAATGAGGTACCTTGTCTGACACTTCCACATGCCCAGCATTTTCTATTTACAAACCATATTCTTCCTGTGCAGGCACCCTGAGGGCAGCTGGACAGGATTGTCTCCAGAAGTTCCTTTCAATCTAAGTTACAAGATTCCCACTTCACCTGGGCAAGAAGGGTCCCCATAAAGTAAATACAAAAGGGGAGGTACTAAATTAGGCATCTGACCCCTAAGGTCTCTCCTTTGGATACACAAGACAAGACATTGCCCACTACCTGGTCTGACAGATCCCCATGAAGAAGGCATGTGTACAGTTTTAAGATGAGCTCAACTGCAGTGGGGATGCAAAGGGTGGTGGTTAACAAACCCAAAACAGAGTTAGTTAAAAGCTATTTTAAATACTAATAGTGCATACTGAATCTCCTCAAGGCCTTTTTATCTTTCTTGCAACAGTAGAATGCATCCTTCTCCAGGAAAATATGAAGAGCACAAATTTTTAAAAGCATTTAGTTTTCTAAAAATTAGTTTCCTATGGGGCCACAAAACAATTCCACAGGGGTCTGTAAGAAGAACGTTTTAAACTTATGGTCAGGAACACATTAGTGGCTGTTTCTAAAGCTGACAGGTATTAAAGCAACAGTGTGCTGAATCCTCATTTAAAGCATTAGTACAAATTAAGAGTTACTAAGCACCTCTTTTCGCAAGAGTTTACAGAGTGACTGAGATACAAGTGATCCACTACACCAGAGGTGTGGGAAAATGTTTTTGTGCAATATAAAATGTTATCTGACAGTCCCCTGCCGTACAAATGAACTGAAAGTTCACCAGCCTAAACTGGAATCTACCTACATGAGGACACACTAGAAAAGTTATCAAGTATAAATCTGAAATGGGAAGAGAATTTACGATACAAAAAATGAAGTAGTTTTCTGCATATTCAGAACAGGCTGCCATTTCCACCTCATCTCTTACACTTTTCTCATGTTTTGCATGTTTCACAGATACCCTACAGGACAAAAATTAAATGTCTTGTATCTTTTTTAGGGCACAATTCTTCTTTGTTCATTTCCACTATTTCAGGATGCTTTTTAATGCATGGTGTATGCTTAAAGCCTAAAATACATGGTATATATTCCCCTGGTTTTAGTTCTTAATGTACATCAAAAAGATGACATAAAGTATGATTTAACTTACATTATCTATCCTCTTTAAAATTTAGTCAATATTTAACAAAATTCTTACTGATTTTGGGTGTTCTGTCTTAAAAAACCTTTATGTGGTCTCATTTTCACAGTGTTAGGTACTGACTCAAAAAACACTAAGCCCTTTATAGAGGTCTGATATAGAACTTGAAGAGCGAAGCACTAGCCCAAGATGTCTCAACAGCAACTTTGTTTTGTACACCCACTGCAATTTCTTAGTTCTGCAAGAGATTATTTCTCAGGTTTCTCAAAATAAAATAGAGCCAACATTAGCAGAAAGTACAACCAGGAGCTTCACTACAGGTCTGTGTAAGTCTCTCTGACATGTTGCTCACACCACATACACGTGTTCACACATTAAAAACACTAAGGAGTGATCTTATCAAAATAGCTGTGTGCATACAGTAATTCAACATACCATTAGAAGTTCTGGTGACACCTTTAATGGGACTCTCCAAGCATCTGTGGAATGGAGAACAAAAGAAAAATGAAACCGTTGCCAAGTTATTTGTAACAGAGGACACGCGCTCCTATTGATCAAACAGGCACTTATAAACACTACAGGGCCCAGGATTCTGTGACTGAAACTCTCACCCAGGAGGTTGAGCACCAGATGCTGACTGGGAGAAAGCGGATCCTGGAGGTTGAACACCGTGTAGCGGCTGTGCTGGATCTGCCGCAGCGCCTCGAAGTTTCCCAGCAGGATGTCACAGAGCCACTGCGCATTCACACACGGGATCCTCCACTCCTTGGCCTTCTCGTACTTCAACCCGTTGGGCCTTATTGTTCAGAGGTGAAGAGAAAGGGTTGTATTGCAAGGACATAGGTGAAACGGCAATTTCTAATAACAAACCTAAAATGCCAGTATTTCTATTACCTGCTCTAACTGTGACAGAGTAGACAGTCTGAAAAGTACTTTTGTTCTGTGTGCCAGAGCAAGTCATTAGAGGAGAATTTCTGCCCTAAATGGAGTCAAGTTAGACCCAGATTTACATTTTCCCTCCTCCAATATTTTAAAAAAGTACATATTTTACTTATAGTTGATGCAAGAGTCAGCATCTCTTATAAAATATTATAAAATAGCAAAGTTTGAAATTACTTTTCTTTTGCCTGTCTTCAGAAGGCCAAATTTATCAGACAGCACGTTGTAATTTAGTTCAATAAACAACATCACTAAGCTTATTGCTATCATATTGCAGAACTGACTAAAATCAACACACTTAAAATGAGCTGTAGCCACCACCTGACATGCAGACAAGCACTGCCTGTCTGTGAGAAGGTGAGCACTGTTGATGAAGCACTTACTCTTTGCAGATGAGAACTGTATTGCTGCGACACAGATAGCCCGTGTACTTGGCACCTGCTAGGTAGGCCATCAGCTTGAGGTCATCTCTGTCACTGTCAACAAATCCTGTCACAGAGATTATCTGCAGACAGAAAGAGACTGTTATAAGTACCTGAACAAGGATAGTACTTACAGAACACTCCTGTGGAAATGATTTTTCCATTACTAACATTGTTACATTACAGTGAATTAAGTGTGGTGCATCAGCATATACTGTATACAAACTGCACAATTTAAAAGTGATTTATTTACACTTTAAAATTTCAGGTTTCTAGCACTAGTGCTGACTCAGGAAGAATAATTTCTGTTTTTCTGGTCATGTTTTCCTCATTTACAGAGACTACAGTTTTTTTATGAAAGAGCTCAGAGCTAATTTGCTTCTCACGTGTCTCACTTCTTCCTTCTGCTGCTGTTTATATTCAGGCAGACAGAGAAATGCTTACACTTACTTGCTCTACTCTACTTTTTAAAATCTCCTAGAAGCTGTGCTTTACTCTGCCATGAAGCCAAATAAACTGTGCCAGCTGATCATAGGTGGTGAACTGTAACTCCACATCTTCCATTATTTTTAATCTTGCCAGGTTTCCATTGTCACAATTCTCTCCTTTTCTTTAGGAAAAGGCAACAATAATTTTGTTTAAATTATGTTTATTACATTACATATTATATTTACTACTAACCACTGTGTTCACATGCATGTTGTTATATTCTAATTTTCCCAAATCTTTACTTCTTTTTATGTCTTTCCAAAAAGGTTACCATCCCATATGTCTGCATCAGTACAAAGAAACCCAATGCCAAGACATATTTTGGGCACCTTGTTTTATACAGCACAGTGCACTTTAAGATGCATCTGAATGAACGAAAGTTTTTCAACCCTACAAAATTCCACTTCCCCAGTTCTCCTCATTGCACAGGCTACTGGAAGTGTGGCCTCCTATTCTCTGATTAGCAGCACGGGCTTCCTTTTTTGATATTTGCTAAGCATTGGCCCAGAAAAATAAAAAACCCTCAAAAAACCCTCTCAAAATATTGGGTTATGGGACAGGCAGCACATACTGTTAGATGTGCTGTTAGTAAACAGCTATGCAGTTTGGATTCCTGCCACCTTGCTACGTGCCACTCATGCAATCTTTGCCCCTCAGTGTCTGAGAGTAACTCACAAAGGCAGGTGTTACCCCCTCCCCACCCTGAGCTCAATGAGACTGGCAAAGCACTCAAATCACCTGGCAGCACAAACCACACCAACACAGCACCTGGAGATTAACAGAAGCTTTTCTTCCAAGGCAAAATAAATGTGTATTTTGCTTTGAGTGAGCAGGTTCTAGCTCTGTTTTAGAACTGCTCATGTAATGAAGCAGGCAATGAAGCAAGTGTTCTTTAGAAGTAAGCTTTTCCTTCTTACATGTTGAGAGCATGGCTTTCCTCCCGGTGGAAATGCCACTGGGAAATGAAGGGCTCGATGAGGTGGGACCATCTTCTTCTTCTTCAAGATTGAGTTCAGCCAATGTGCTGTAATACATCTCTTCCTTTCCCTTAAAGCCTGTGAATGCACAAACAGCTTTTAAAACCCAAAACACACATTCACTTTACTTTACACTTATTTTACAACTCAAAGCTTTGATTTTAACTGTTTGCTCTCCTCTACCTTTTCAGGATCCCCCTTCTCAGAGGGTCTTTTTTAGTGGAATAAGTTTGCTACATTCACTACAAAAGTCTGTACACCAAAACCCACAAATCACAAAAAAGCACGTAAAGAAAAACTTTTAACTTCGTACTTGAAATCTAAGCATGAAGCACACAGAGAATTTTATTACTTTCCAGCAATAAAATGAAAGCATGTTCCAATACAGGTTACCAGTTTGCTTACCTGAGCATACATGTTACTGACTTGGCTTTCACACAGAAGGTGAGTACATCTGCTTGTGAGAGTAGGGTCCACTGTCCCACCATGGGCTTGGATGATCTGGCAAGAGAGCAAACCCAGAACTTCTAATGTATAACAATTTTTAAATTACCTTAAGAAACAAAAAGTCTGAAATGAAAGTCTACTCTTTAGGACACTGCCACCATTAGCACCATTTCACTGAAGAGTTACCCCCCAAAACTATCTTAAGAACATTTTTGGAAACAAAAAACAAAATTAAATATGCAGCTTTTCTCTGAACAAAAAGTCTATTTTTTAGAATAAATGGAGAAAAAAACAAAATAAAGATTTATAAACAAACAAAAAGTCTCACTTTTTTATTTTTTGCAGTATAACTATTAAACAATTTTTCATGAACTATTCATTTCTATCTCAGCAATAAACACAAGTGCTGTTAAAAATGTCAACAGCTTACTTGATTATGCAAAATTGTAGGGAAAATTCAACTATAAAATCCATCAGAAGTTTCTGAAGAACATCAAAGTCCTCTTATTTAGGAAAGGATACAATCAGATTTTTCTGAAAAATAGAAGTTGGCAAAAAAATAGAAACACTCTATTCTTCCATTGTATTCACTCAGGTGGATACCTCATAGGCTAATAAATGCCAAAATTATACGCAAAAAAGAGTCTTTTTACACAATGAAGTTAAAGACAGATAGTGATGCTATATTACATTTGCTGAATTACAGCTGCCTGATTAAAAGCGTAACTAACTGGGAAATAATTAAGGTTGAAACTTATTTAACTCATGTTCTGACTGAAGATTTAATTCAACCTAAAGGCTGCACACCTAAAGCATTTTTATTACTTTTTCTGGTCAGCAGCAGTTGAAAAATGGATTTTAGATTGTAACAGAAGAATTACACCAAAGGGTGCCTAAAGAAAAGTGAAGAGTGCTGACCTACTTCCAGTGATATCTTTTCAAATCTACGTACTATGACATTATGTTATAGTTTTTTTAAAAATACAGGAGAATCTTACCCGTTTCCAGGTTGCTAACAGCTGTTTGTCAGACATCTGTTCTGGGTAATCAGCAATTGCAAAGACACAGCCCAGTAGGAAATAATCTTCTGGAACTGGAATAGTTTGGCACATAAAAGAACAAACAATTAAATACTTGTAAGTCTGAAGAGTTCATCTCAGAACATATTTGCTACACTAAGCTTTTCCTATTACTAGATTATAAACTTCGTTCAATTTTAAAGTGCACTTCCTTGAAAAAAGTAGGACCCCACATTTCAAAGCTGAAAGCCTTAAAGGCACAGTTCAGCCCGGGGATTGATTTTATTCTGGGTATTTTTTTTTTTGCCTGGATGAAGGGGGGCTAAAGGGGAAGAAGGAAGGGTCACCAAAAGGAGAACATAAGACAACTTCCTCGTTCACAAAGATTAGCTATGAATAGCCAAAATAATAAAAAATATTTCAGTTCTACCAGCGTGGACAGAATTAAAAGCAAGGTGTGACAACTTTCTGACACTGAAGCTTCATTAATATACTAGTACTTTCAAAATTTTACCTCTCTTTTGATATACTGTTTGAAAGTTCTCCCCCTTCCTCTCTTCCAAATGAAAAAAACATTCAAAACAATTATGGTGTGCACACACTAACATTGCACTGGTAGTGTAATTTATGTGCTTGTGGCATCAGGTACGTATCTGAAAAGAGGACGTTCTCAGTGCTCTCATGCTTTTCAGATTGCCAGATCATCCTTAGTTATTACTTAAGTATTAAAAATTAGTAAACCCAGTTCTGAGCCCGGAATGGCATTCCTTACAATCCCATCCTGCAAACACAGCGCTACTTTTTGACATTCTAGCCCACATCATGTCCTTAGCCACTTTTTTCCAGGATCAGAAGGCAACAATTACTAACTCTCCACTGCTGGATCGTGCCCAAAAAGCGGTTGCTGCTGCAGTTGTTGCTGTTGCTGCTGGTGGTGTTGTGGCTGCTGGGCTGGAAGCTGATGCTGTAGTGCTTGAGGTGTCTGCGTCAAGTGCTGTGCAGCCTGGTTCTGCATCTGCTGTTGCTGATGCTGTTGGTGCAGTCGCTGTAAGTGCTGCTGCTGCAGTTGCTGCTGCTGATGTTGCAGCTGTTGCTGTTGCAGCTGCTGCTGCTGCAGGTTCTGCTGCTGCAGCTGTTGCAGCTGTTGCTGCTGCTGCTGCAGCTGTTGCAGCTGCTGTTGCAGCACATGCTGCTGCTGGAACTGGAGCTGCTGCGGAGGGCGGTGCAGCGGCTGCTGCGCGTGGAGCGGCTGCTGCGGGAACTGGAGCTGCTGCTGGGAGAACTGGTGCTGCTGATGGACTTGCTGCTGCTGGGGAAACTGGTGAGGCTGCTGCTGCTGCTGGAAAGACTGCTGGGGGATCTGGGGTTGCTGCTGCTGCTGCTGCTGCTGGAGCTGCATGAGTTGCTGAGGTTGAAGGTGTAAAAGAGGATGGTGCTGTTGCTGCTGTGCTTGATGTGACTGCTGCAATAAATGTGTCTCTGGTGTTAGTTTCACTTGACTAAACAGCACCACATTTGGATGTCCCTGTTGGCTATGATTTACTTGTTGTTCTAAACTTTTTGTAGGTGCTGAAAGTGATTGTAATATCTAGAAAAACAAAGATTAGTTTTGTGACCTTTTGGTTGTCATTCAGTTTTAAAACTATTTAAAGAACTACTGGGAAAATACAATTCCTAAAGCAAATGATCCCTATGCTTAAATACTTTGGGAATTAAACACAAATCTTTGACTGCTAATAGCAAAATTAAAAGACAGGACTTACACGAAGAAAAGCATGGAGCTGCAAGTGGCTCCTAATAAAAGGCAATGCCTGTTTTAGCAAAATTTAAGATTCAAACCCATCCCTGTAGCATTGATGATTTCTTCAACAGCATTGTGAATCTTAACACTTATAGGAATAATTATACTGATCAACTGTAATATTAATTAAAAAAAACTAGTCTATTAAGAATTTAGTTCTACAGTCTTATTTTCACTTAAAAATTGTTAATGATGCCTCCATTAATTACTGCTGTTTTGAACTAATTCAGGACTATATGGCTTTTTAAGCAGAATTCCAAAAAACAAAGAAAAACATTGATCTGCTGAGCACTAATGTTTCTTGGGGAAAAAAAAAGAACCTAACCTACCCATACTTCAGAATAATAGATTTTAGGTTCATATAGAGTGCTGAAGTAATCTGGAATTTAATTCAATTTTTAGATGTACAACTCACTATTAAAAGAGAAATCATTTCACACTAAGAAGACACAAATTACCAAGTGAATTCCTAAAGAATCAGAAAAGGGAAACTTAGGCTAAGTTCTAATAGATTAGGATGAGTGCTACATATTTATTAAAATATTTTAATATAAACTACCTATTAGAAATGAGAAGGAGCGACAGGAAATTGTAGACTTGCCATTCATAAAGCCTTTTAAAAATGAAATCAGCTTTGGTGAATCCCATTTCAACATACACAGTGTCACCTTCAGCAACGTGCATGTGTGAGAGAGGTATCAAAACCCATCACTAAAACACAAAGCCAATTAGCTGGATCCTCTCAACAAGATGTCCATCAACTCTCCACCAGAGGTGGCTCAAGTGTTTTTACAATGAACATTAAAATATCTCAGGTGTCATCCAGAGTAATTCTGATGTGGTTGGTACAGCACACACGTAGAACCACGATTATCAATGCATTGCCCACCACTCATGTCCTGACAGTGTAAGCATTCATTAACTAAAAATAACATTCAAAAAAAAAAAGAATGTTTCCATGGCATGGTATGAGGTGCTCTTCTCCACTAAAAGTCCCAAAAGTCAAAATTACAGAAGCTTCGGGACATTCAATTCAAAATAAAGGGATAAAACTTTAAAAAGTATCCTAGGGCTATATTCAGAAAATAACTTTGTATCTGCAAAATGCCTTATTATTACAGATCTTGCCATTCTGCAGAAATTTGAGGTTCAAATTAACCACTAACTTTCCAAGAATGTGCACTGAGACTCGCATTCACGCAGGACAGAGGACAAGGGAAGTTATAGGGCAAAAAGGACTGGTAATTCCTCCCTCTAGGAAGCTGATCCAGAACTGTAAGATGCAAAGCCTTTCTCCAGGTGCTGGAGCTGGCACGGTGACCTCCACAGCAGCCTGATACAGTACTTGCTACAAAGCCCTTGCACACCAGAGTCCAACTGCTACTCCAACAGTTGGAGAACAGAGTGTAACCAAACCACAACCAACTGCCCTGGAGCTCTGTAAATACCACTGACAGAGAAACACTTGCAAAGGGACATCACCAAAGTCTGTTTGATAGCACAGTGACTAGGCTGTAGATGTGGTACTCAATGCTGGCGGTTCTGCTCAGCCCATGCCCAGAAGTCTCAGCCCTTAAACAATTCCAGGCAATAAGACTTAAAATAAAGCCTGTACTTCCACTTCATATTCAGAAATCATACAGACAGCAAAGGACCAACATTTCTGAGGGACTCCACACCCCGTGTTTCAGTACTGGCTGGAAGCCACTGTACTACTCAGGCACCTTTCAGAGTTTTACCATCAGGTGAATATGCAAAGAAAGGCACCCATGCAATTGCTTTAATGTCTAACATTTACCAGCACTTACTTTTCTCATGCTCCCTTCCCATAAACATCTAAGGATTTCAATGCTGCAAGTGCAGCATGCTCACTTGCTTTTTTATTTCCTTCTGGAAATAAATTCAATACAAGAGCTGCAGTTATTTCAATACACAAGTGGCACAAGACGGTGTAAGTGAGGACTTCTGCATCATAATCCTGGCTATACTATATAACAACTTACTGATGCCCAGAGAACAACAGTCTAGAACTGAATCTACTCTGGGAACAACCAATTTCACAGTTTTAAGTGTTTATAGCACAAATAATTCCTTGAACTGACTGAAAACCTTGAAGGGTATGAAACCAGGTTTCCTGAACTAGCAAAGTAATTCTGAATTAACACTTTTTTCTTTTTGTTCTTACCAAGAAATCATTACTGAAACTCTAAGCTATTCTGTAGTTAAACGCAGCTTTACTCTTCCAAACATTTTCTCCAACTGCATTCTCACTTCTGTTAAACTGCTAGGAATGAAGTTACTTATTATGGGGAAGTTACGAATTTGGCTACAACTCCAGTACTTTGGGTTCTTAAGTTTTAACTATGGACACTTTAAGAACTATAAAAGGAAACGAAAGTTCTTGGATACGATAGCTCCTAAGAAAAAGTCCAATAGCTTATAAATGAAAAATCCAACACTTACATGTGCTACATTTGATGGTCTATTAATCTGCTGAATATCAGCACTATTAGTAATGTTCCTTAACGTCCGCACGGCTGGACTCCACGTGGCCATCATTTCCTGTCGGTCGGAACTTTGGGCACCTTGTACTGAAGCCATGAGGTTGCCCCTCATATCTGGAGGCAAAATGTTACCTGGCACTGGTGGGACATTGGCACACAAATTAATTAACCCGGAGTCTTTCCCTTGAGGCAACCTACGCTTTGCTGCAGATGCCTGTGGGACTTCAGCTGGTGTCCAATTCAAATTCCTCTCTTGCTTTTCTGGAGAGGAATCTGAAGAATCATCAAACATCAGTTCCCCTTTTGCCTTGTCAGCAGTAGTAGGTTTTGGTGAGAAAGCTTGATCACCCAAAGGTGATCCTTCTCGAGAAGATGCTGGGCTTGATAGTTTTTCATCAGTGCTAGCTTCATTTTGGGAGTCTTGTTCTTCATTTTCTGCTTCTTCCTCCTCTTCTTCCTCCTCCTCTTCTTCCTCTTCATATATAATCAAACGAGGATGATAAGGAGTCTCTTCTTTTTTACCCTTATCAGCTATAGAATCCAGTACCCAGTCTGGGGTCACAATTTTAATGCTGTCCCGTTTATAAGCACATTCATATTTTTCCTGAGGGGAAAAAAAAAAAAAAAAAGATTTTATTTAAAGAGAAAAAAATCCAAATAACTTTTTTTGAGTGCAGGGCTAGAGCATAGAGAGGGAGATCACAAAAGGCTGTCCAAAAACAGAGAATGATCTCCCCCAGATCAAACACTACACTACTGTGCAGAATCACAAATTCTAAGAGATTAAAACAAAATTCTCCACATTTACGGTATAAAGGACTCAGAAGGCACAACTGCAGAAGGGGATGTCTTCACTTGCACAATTGTTCTCTAACCCAGTCACCAAAAGGTTTGAAAATAATGAAATTTGGTTCTGAAAAATCATCTAGAACTCCTGCAGCTAGGAACATCAACAGTCAATACTAAAATGCAGGTGATTTTAGGTGGACATTACGGTGAGTTTAAACAGAGTTTATACTTACATTTTGTCCACTAAAATAAAACAAAGCAAAACAAAACAAAACAAAACCCAAACAAAGTGTATCCAGGGAGAAAGTCAGAATTTAATAATAGAGACAAATATTTACAAGGTGGTCACTGAAAAAACAATGCATTTCAACAGGAATACAAATCAGTCAGGTATTTCCCATACACCTTCTCACAAGCTGCAAAGAGTAATGTTGCCCTCAAAGACAAAGTTACACTTCTGTCCAAATATCACCTAAATCAATTTCAGTGCAAGGTTATGATGTTGACAAACTAGAAAATTTTATCCCTCCCTCCTTCCTTCTCATTTCATCATTTGAAGATATATACAAATCTTACGGAATCAGTGTTGTATTTCTTTGAACATCTTTTTGATGGAAACTTCTCACATATATCAAAACAGCAAGGGAAAAAAAGGAAAACTTTCTTTAGAAAATTTGAAACTAATTTCAGGATCTAATATTTAGAAGTCATTGAACTGGGATTTTCTTTGTATGTCAAACAATATAAATTAACAACAAGCACATTCAGAGAAAACTTATTTAATTTAATGATTCTCTAGAGTTATTTCCTACAATGAAACTGTCATTCATACCCCATAAAGAGATTAGAGATGAAATTGAGTTTGCTTGCCGACACGTGTTTTTATTCATTCTTTGTGGTGAGAATTATTAACAATCTTGTTTTATCATCTTGTGTCTAGTCAAAGCAATCATTTAAGTTTTCCCAGTGACAAAACTGTTCTCGATACAAACTGCAGCAGATTCCCTTGTAGTAGTGTGTCACAGCAGCAGGACTAGAAGCACTTTAAGTAACCGTCCCATAAAATTGTTTCCATTCAACGATTATGTGAATTAAAATATTTTTATCCTACAGATAGGAAATGCTAGTTCATAATAAGCTAATAGAGACAACTAGGGTGGTGTTCAATACACCCCTCTAAACAGTCCACAGGAAAAAGATTATGTGCTTAAAAAAAATCAAAACAACCCACACACACATCCACCACAAAAGCCCCAACCCTACAAAGGCCCTTACATTTTAAAGAAGCAAGCATTTCCCACGTCCACACTTTCTCTTCTCCCAGTGCCAGCCTGTTTTATTCTAATACATTTCCCTATGTGTGCACACAGAAATTTACTGTCATTCTACTAGCCACATGTTTTTGTCTTAGATAGTTTACATTAACTCCAAAATATTAAAAGGGTCATTGGTGGGACAATAATATACTCAATTTGTATGAAACAACATCAGGAACTTGACAAAGTTTTACAGATATAGGTAAGGAGGTACAGAACCTGATCTTAGAGTTACTCATATTCAAGTAACTAAACTGTGTCACACCCCTTCCACTGATACAAAATTTAAAGAAAAGGTGATGGAAATGTGCTCATGCTCTTAAAGGACAAAAGGTAAAACACAAAACCCAAAGCTTGCTCCATGCACCAGATGAACGAAAAGCATCCATGCAACCATTTGTAAGTGAGCTTCCATTCTCTTTAAATATTTTCAGTCTCTGAACTAACACACTAAATCAATTACAAGTATATTTGTTCCTCAGGAAGAGGAATACCTGAACACTTCATGAAGTTTGAGTGAACTATTTACAACCAAAGCATTACTGGCATTGTAGCACAGGAGGCTGGTCTGATGTGCTCAATGCTGCCTTTAGCCAGTTACCTGATCTTTCTGATTCAGTTTCTCATCCTGCAAAAAGACAGCAGCATTTGACTCCCTACCTGGGAATAAGAAGTCAAATGATGATACTTAAACTAGAGGAAGCTGTGGACTCCCCCAAGGGTAGAGAGGCCTTACAGAGATCTGGATAGACCAGAGAGCTGGGCAATCACCAACCACAGGGAATTTAACAGGAACAAGCATCAGATCCTGCACCTGGGATGGCATAACCCTGGTTTCAGGAACAAAGTGGGAGAGAAGAGTCTAGAGAACAGCCCTGCAGAAAGGCATCCAGGGGGTTGGGTTGGTGGTTGAGTATGAGCCAGCAGTGTGCCTTGGCAGGAGAAGTGGGACAACTCTGTCCTGGGTGCATCAAGCACAGCACTGCAGCTGGCTGAGGGAGGCATCGTCCTGGCATGCTCTGTGCTGGTGGAGCACACAATGATAAACACAAAAAAAATCCTGTTCCTCCTTCTGCTCTCTTCATTCCTTTCTCCCTCTTATAACACTGAAATGCATTCTATGCAATTTTGTCCTTCATTTTCTTCACTGATTCTGTGTCTACAAATTTACAAATCGCAAACACTATTGACTATGGCATGTCAAAATTAGGTTAACAGAAACAGAACAAAGAATAAAATTCCTTGTTCAAACAGGAATTTGAATACTGGTAAGAAACTGAACAACTTTTGAATTAATCACACTTAAAGCCATGCAGAAAATAAGTATGCACTGAACAGCTGCAATGCATAATTGTGCTGAATTTAGTTGTTAATGAACAGTCTTCAGAACTCTAACTTCAGGAAGCTGAAAAATTTCTGCTTATTTGAAAGCAAATGAGAGCTACAAGAAGAACCGCACACGTAGTAAACTCTTACCCCCTTCGGCTCAGGCACAATCAAATGAGTACACTTCTTATTGAGGCTCAGCTGGCAATTCCCTCCATAAAAAGTAATCAAAGCCCACAGTGTACTTCGGTCTTCAGACGAAACCTTTAAAAGGAAGGTAAAAAAGCCTTTTAGTTCTACACAGCCAGCTGCCTTCAGCTGGAAGAGTTTTACTATAATCCATGACATACCATTTACAAGTCTGGCTAATGTATTACCTATCACTTTCAAATACCAAATTAGCATGGAAGTTACAGAGAAAAATGGTGACAAACAAACAGAACAAGAAAAAACCCTCTATAATAATTTTTAACCTACATGGAGAAAGAAAAAACACTTTTCACTCCTGTAAAACTCAACACTAGTATATCACCCTCCACTAGAGAAAAAAAGTTAGTGTTCAAGCAAACTGGAGTTATTTATTTGTGTACAAATTCATGAAACAGAATTTTAACACGCAGACCAAATAAACAGCCTGTGTAAAGAACCAAAGTATTTATTTCTTACAATTTCTGTCACAGCATGTCCTTCTCCCCTGCTAAGAAAGCCACATGCATTGAAGACATTACCAATGAGAATTAGTGACAGTACTACAGAAATAACTGATTAAAAACTCTAAAGCAAACACACACACATCTATTCCACTAGCACCTGGCTCTGATCCTGTGTCTGCACTCACACTCTGGTGACAGATCTACAGAGCTGTCCATGAGTACAAGCCATGGAAGCACCACCCCTTCCACTTGTTCAACTCACTGGCATCCCTGTTTTCAGTGCATTAGTAGTAAAACATGTTGACTGAATATTGTGTTAGTGTAGAAAGAGAAAATGCATAATAGGAGCAAAGACTTTGTAGTCCAGTGTACTCTGCATTTGAGAAGCATCATAAAGCTGAACAGAAGATAAATTACTGACTGAATGTTCACAGTTTGAACTGTTCATGGCCTCATTTTCAGTGAAAAACTGTCAGGTGATAATTCACCTAACATACAGAAAAAAAGTCACAGTGCAACAGAAAAACTGTTCTCTCTCCTCAAAAAAACGCAAAGCATCACAAACATACTGTACATTGGAGTAGACTGAAATATGGTTCACTTCTTACCTGAGAGAGACAAGCAGTGACTCCAAAAAAGATCTGACATGATTCTGGAGAGAAGCCATTTACACTGGAAGGCAGATGTCAAGGTTGCAAAATAATTAAATGAGAGCTTCCTGAGGGACATTAGAAGGAAATTAAACAGTGAGCATAGTACTTCTCACATATTATCAACTATTTGACCATTTAAAAACTTTTATCTTTAAAAACATGTTGCCTGTTTCCAATTCAAGTTGTATGCATCAAGAAAAAACTGAGGTACAAACTCAAATCAGGACACCTCTAACACTGTGACCGATTTTGGTAACATCATAAACTTGCCTCTTCCCAGAACATCTCCCTCAGCCCACCTCAGAATGCTTTGCTTACGGGAGTCAGAAGAGTTTCCTTCTGTTACCAAATACTTACTGGCCATGCTTAAAAAAACAGGAGAACCTGAAGAGGACAATATAGAAGTATCAATGTTAGACAACATTAACACCAAATTTAATTGTGGGACACGAACTCAGGGTCTAATAATGCCTTTATCACTGATCTGGATGAGGGGATCGAGTGCACCCTCAGTAAATTCACACACAGCACCAAGTTGGGTGCGAGTGTTCATTTGCTGGGGGGCAGGAAGGCTCTGCAGAGGGATCTGACAGGCTGGGATGATGGGCTGAGGCCAAATGGATGAGGTTCAATAAGGTGAAGTGCTGGGTCCTGCACTTGGGTCGCAACAACCCCCTGCAGCACTACAGTCTCATGGAAGAGTGGCTGGAAAGCTGCCCAGTGGGAAAGGACCTGTGGATATTGGTCAACAGTGGCTGAACACGAGCCAGGGTCTGCCCAGGTGGCCAAGAAGGCCAGTGGCATCCCAGCCTGGATCAAGAGTAGTGTGGCCAGCAGGACTTGAGCACTAATTGTGCCCCTGTACTTGAGGCTGCAGCTCGAATCCTGTGTTGAGGTCTGGGACCCTCAATTCAGGGAAGACATTGAGGTGCTGGAGCATGTCCAGAGAAGGCCAATGGAGCTTGTGCAGAGTCTGGATCACAGGTCTAACAAGGAATAGCTGAGAGAGCTGGGGGTGTTTAGCTTGGAGAAAAGGAGGCTCTGGGGGACCTTCTTACTCCCTACAGCTACCTGAAAGAATGCTGTAGCCAGGTGGAGGTTGGTCTCTTCTCCCCAGTAACAAGCCATAGGAGAAGACAAAATGACCTCAAGTTGTGCCAAGGGAGGTTTAGATTGGATATTAGGACATATTTCTTCACCAAAAGGGTTGTCAAGCATTGAAACAGGCTGCCCAGGGCAGTGGTGGAGTCACCATCTCTGGAGGTATCTAAAAGATGTGTAGATGTGGCACTGAGGGACATGGTTTAGTGGTGGACATGGCAGTGCTGGGTTAACAGTTGGACTCGATGATCTCAGAGGCCTTTTCGAACCTAAATGTTTCTATTCTAGGATTGTTCTCCCTGTTCAGAGTGGCTCAGACAAAAGAAAACAGGGTTAGACTGTAGCATGGTAATGGGGTTAAACTCCAGAAACACAATACTGAGGCACTGCGAGTTGACTGGGGAGACACTGAAATCTGCACTATGGGAGAGGCCTCGTGAAACAGGAGAGAGAATGGTGTGACAGCAGTGAGCTGGGAAAGACAGACGAACCATTTGACTTCAGCAACTTCCCTCCCTTTTCTACACGTCCATCTGATCTTGTGCTTAAGATCCAGGCACATCTTATAAGAAAAAAATGGCTACGGAAAGATATGTACGTTGTGTCACAAGTACACACTGAGATATTTAAAAAGAAACAAAATTATTTTCCCCATGATGTTGGCAGATGTACCAGCAACATTCAGGTTTTGAGACCTGGAAGTCTGAGACTCTGGTCAAAGCCCTGAGCACTTTAAGGCTTCATAGATTACTACTATTGCCCAGAATATTCCAAGAACTTCAAATCCAATGAACAGCCTAAATTTCAGTGTGTTGCTCTGCATCTCATCTAAGGTAGAAGTTCAGTACTGGATCTTCAAGAAGTGTACATTTGTCTACTCCCTGCCTTAATATCTGCCTCTAACACACAAGGGAGGAACAGGAGTGAAACAATAACAAGCAGCAGAGCAATTAAAAAAAAAAAAAAAAAAGAGGGAATGCAGGAAAACTCACTTTTCCCCCTGCCATCAACACAAGTTCAGAAGTGCTCTGCCACTCTTTTATATGTTACAAGACCATGAAAAAATAAACCTTCCTCTTTCTTGCTTTTCCTGCGAAAAAAGTCCCAGCCCTCTTTATGGCATTACAGCCAAGGTTTTCACACATCAAACTCCTTATCCTTCTTCACGAAGTCTGCTTCCAGCTTCATTTTTCTGCCACTTCCCTTCAACTGCAGGTTAGCCAGATTTTGCAAATGTCAGACAGCAGGACACAGGAGAACACTCTGCCTCCTGAAGTTCCCCCTGGTGAAAACAACTTCCCCTAAGAAACAGGCAAAATTACTATGCTTTTATATTGTATTATATATTTCTACATTAAACTTCACCTTTAACAACTGATAGGTAAATGCTCACCAAATACCAGATGTGGTAAGCCAAGGTAAAATCCTTAAGGTTCTTATTAGATCCATATGTCTCACTGACACAAGGTGTTCCCAAGACTTTTTTCTTCAGAAGTTCAAAGACCACTTCGAGCATTACATCTCCAAATTATAACATAAACAAGAGACAAAAATGCAGGATACCAAACTTCTGCCTAAACTGGGTCCAAAACCCATCAACTGGAAAAACTAAGCTATTCCTATTAACTCCTATTAATTTTTTCATTATGGTAGTACCTAAATCCCTAATGACAGGCCGGATGTCACTGCACTCAAAGTCATAAAGTGCCTGACACAGAACAAAACAAAGTTAAGACTTAACAACCCCTTTCAGTGAGCACAATAAGGCTCAGAATAAAATCTAAACCCACTGTGTTTTAAGGACATGAAGTGCTAGAAAAGAGAAAGTCAAAGGTCCAAGGAACTCATTTATTGCTGGCAGGTGGACAAAACTTCCTTCCTCCATGCAACTCAGGAACATGACACTACTGAGACCTGATCTTTTCATTTGGCCATTCCCACATACCCACAATAAAGACTTCCTGAGCAATAGCCACTGAGGGCTACATTCCCACTTTTATTGCTACAATTTAGTTATGGACTGCATCACTATTTTGGTTTATCTGTTTATTTCTCTTCTGGGTATATCTAACAACGTCAGCTCTTAGAATACCCTTCTAAAAACCCTATTTTCAGCTGGAAGACAAATTTTCTAGTAGTGCAATTTCTCTGTGGGAAAGAACAACATCAATAATGAAATGTTAGGTTACTTAAGCCTGAAAGTGTAGCTAATTCCACGCTATTTTTTGTCACAGTCCAAAGGAACCGGGAGAGAAGGTTTACAGACATGTGACATAAGCAACTGTACACTCCCACCCTGATGATGACAGGACAATAAACGCATTTATTATGTCCAGACACAAAAGACAAAAATCACTAGCCTAGATCACACCAAAGAGACAGAGAGATGCAAGGTCACACACCTTAAAATACCAGGTATAAAACAGGAATTCTGAGTCACTGAAGCACATAAAGACCTGAATTCCCAATCTGAACATCTGGATTTTCGCATCTACCACCTTTTGTTTTCCGTTACAGACACAACTAACTGTTACCTCATTCCAAAATGAGATCTCATGCCTGGCAATATTCCTCTCTAGTCGTGGCACTGTTTGTTGCCATCACCTGCTTGTATCTGTACTGAAATGTATTGCTCTGTTTAAGCTTGTCCATATACAGAATATCCTGAATGGTTGAGAAAAAGATGTTCAATTTTTTTTTCTATAAAAATGGTCACCATTCCTGTAATTCCAAGAAAAAAACTGCCAGGAACATAAATAAAGATAGAACAGTAATAACTGACAAGAAGAGTAAGGAATGAGCCATCCATATGCAAGAATACAGGCTCCAAACAAGTTAAGAAACACAGATCTAGCCAAACATGAGAAAGGGTCTACAAAGGCAGTGACAGACTATTCCAAAAATGCAAATACTAACACTGTTTATAAAATGTTATTTATAATACAGTATTAGGAGTTATTCCGTATTTATTCCTTACTTAATTTTGCTAGAAAAGGCGGAATAGGTCATTCCACTCCGAGCCATCCTTTGCCTCCTTAGTGCACCCCAGTGGTTTTCCTGGCGCCTCAGGTAAACAATGTATCACCTGCCAGTTAAAATGTTTTGAGTCTATCTGATAATGGTTTTCCTGCAAGTGCCTATGAAGCAGAAAACAGCCACAGGGACAGAAAACTGCAGTACGACAAAGAAGCTCCAACACACTGCAATCTTGGCAGGCAAAACACATCCTATCATTTCAAAAATTTAAGCTGTACCTACGTGAAACAACATTTAATCCCTTGATGGCATCTATTTTAACGTTACCTACAGAATTAATCCAATTTTGAACTTGAAAGGATACGGCAGAAGAGCTCCACAGCGAACAGACAAGATCACCCAGGAAGGCTGAAAGAAACAAAAACCACAAGACGTTAAAAACCGGGTCTACATGTACAAAATATGAATTACCTTCCAAGTTCATACTATAGCTGGTTTCAATATGTAACGTTCAGCTGGAAGTCTAAGTGTTCCACAGACACTATAGTTAGTCTACAAAAAAAGGCCGTTCTCATTTATTTGTAAGAGTTCAGTTAAAGACAGCTCAAAGGTTGAGCCGCAATATGGGAGCTCCTCATTTACGATATTTATACATCCTTTCCCCTTCTTTCAGAAAAAAATAATTAAAAAACCCCCATGTATAAAACCTTGTCTTACTCTCATCATCGAGGAGCCAGGAATCATAACCTTACACAGAAAGTTTCTGAAGACAGAGCAACGCTGGCTGTGAGCAGTGATGGCCCCCACCCGACAGCATTCTGGGACAGAAGGGCTCAAAGGGACACACGGAGGTGGCAGCGAATGGAGATGTAGGATAGTGGTCCCAGTGCAGCAGATAAGGAAGAGTGGCATCACATTCAGGATGAAATTACTACTCCTTCTCAAAAGACAAGTAAAAAAATATACTGTGGCAACCAAGTTTATGGTGTCACAGTTCTTGCTGTTCTCTTTCCCTTATGAGGCAGCATACAAAAAAAGAGCCAAAACCATTTAATTCTTAACTTCTCAATCCTCAAGAATTTCTTTTCCTTATTCCCTATAACCAGCTACTTTTGCCTCTGGCTTCCATTCCCTTAACACTTAGTCTAATCCTCTTGATTACAGATCATGCTGTGATGTTTTCAGGTCAAACTAAGTGACATTAGTGACAGACTTGCTCTCATTTGGCAAATGAGTTAGCAGTTAGCAGCAGTTCTGAAGAACATTGAATTATTTCAGTAAATGGTTATTAGAAAGTAGGAAGTTCTCTTACGACACTGATGTCCTTCCTTCACATGACAGTGGCAGCAAATCTTGTTTGTAAGGTTAAAACTATTCCCAAAAACACTTCAGAAGAGGTGTTTTTTATAGTGGGCAGGCCCACTATAACCATAAGGTCTCCAGGCAAGCACCTTTCATTTTTCTAAATTAATTCATAGTTCTACACTCTCAGGTGAATTCTCATGACATAACCTATCAAAATTCTCTACTGCCATCTGTAACCCTGTTGAAAAAATAACCCAAAATCAAGTACCCAAAGGTACTAGCATTGACATTCTAGTGTTATTTCTTCCAAGCTCTCTCATGACTTCCAGAGTGACAAGTTCACATTTTTAAACATGAAGACCAGAATTTTTCACTGGAAAAAGTCCCCCACAACAAGGTAGTAACAAAACTACTGGTAATTCCAGTATGAGGAAGAAAGAAAAAAATAATAATAAAAAACTCTTTAAAAACTAAAATTAAGAGTGAAAAATCTATTTTTCTACAAGTTCCTATAGTTTAAAATCAGTACAGAAAACTAAAAAATACCCAAACCACTGACAGATACATAGGAACAAGAGAAAGGAGAGAACAGAATTGTAACAGGACACATCAGTCAGGATAGAAGTTTGTGCAACAAGAATAAAAGATTTTTTGATTGTACATTTCATGTGGTCATCATCCATACATGAATATTTTGTTATAACCATGAAGTACTCATGTCAGCACTTTGACAGTATCATGGTTAAGTCGTTCACCTTTACCACAGGGAGATCAAAAACTTCCCGAGATTCTCCAACTTCCGGATTGTCCCCATCTTCTGAAATGATATGTGAAGCCAGTGCATTGTAAGAAACTTCCTTTGCTTTACCAGCTTTCAGAAGTTGAATAACCTAAACCCAAAAGAGAACAGGGAGAAGTCAACAATTTTTAGCACATTTTATTTGAGAAAAACGTCACTGCAAAAAGACACCGACGCTGGAGGAATGAACATGAGCTTCTCTCTTGGTTGTCCTCCTGTAGGTGGTCAGCACTCTTTCTCAAGTTCTGAATGCATCCCATTTAAAACCTGATTGACAAAGGTTTACACCTCTGCCATATTTTCATCATTCAATGCCAAGATTTACTTTCCAAAATAATTCAGGCTTTGCTAGAAATCTGGAAAATTTCAACACTTTTCAAAAACATATATTCCTCAAAAAACATCTGAAAACAATTTTCTCTCAGGTAAGGTGTGAAAACTCTTCTTCTCACTGTTTGTTTTTGCATATGGTTGCTCTGGAAGTGTTTGAATATTCTTTAAAATAAGTGGTTGAATTTTAAGGACTATTTGACTTGGAGAAATACAAAAAAAAAGGTCAAAACACTAAAATACCAAACAAGTAGAACAAATGTCCTCTAAGTTATTACCACAAAGAGCTGGAACTGATATGTCTCACTCCACTTCTCTGTCCTCAGAAAATGCAGAGCACCTCACAACTAACAAAACACAGCTCACTCCTCATTTTGCATGGCCCATTCAGCAAATGCTGGTTTAAGAGTTCACCACTCTCTCAGCTCTGCTGTAGAGATTTATGTGATGAATCCCATCCTGCCCCCCAAAGACCAGACCTTCATTTGAACAAAAGTAACAGAGTAGGTAGTGGGGAGTAGAGGGGAGGAAGATAAACATGTTTTATAACATTAGACTCTAGAGTTCAAAAGCTAAAAATGCAAATTAGGATTATTTTTCATTTTCCTCTTATTATTCAGGAATAATGACTTAGCATAACCAAACTGGTACGATGCTTATCCTCCAAAACCTGCCAGGGGTAAATGCCTACCCCTGAAAACCTGCTGGGGACATTCCCTTCAAAACAGATTGCTCTCCCCACAAGAGTGAACAGCAGAGAGCAAGGCACTGCATTCATCAAACAAAATATTAATTAATTGGTCCTTAAGCAATTACTCCCTACTCTGTAAACTCACCAGGACAGAAAAACACTGAAAAAGAGACTCTCTCAAAACGTGGCATCAGGCTATGTTATAAAGCATCTGTGCTATGCAGAAAAACAAAGATGGAAAAATCACCACTCCAGGAGGAGACAATTTCAGCATCTCCTGACTGAAGTATCTGACTTTAAAATTCCACTAAAGAAAAAATATCAACTTTTCCTGAAGTGGATGAATATGTGATATTACCAAATTACAAAATAAATACTCCAAAATAACCAAGAAACTGATCATGAGCTTGCTGTTCTTGCCACCACAGCCTGGAACAGGAGACAATGTTTTCATTTTACACACCAATCTCGTAAATCAGGAGGCGCTTCCCTGCATGAAATCCAGTTAACCACAAGGTAACACAGGACACTATCACTCCAATAGATAAAAATAAAGCCCTTTTGAAAATAGTAGGTATTTAAGAACAGCCCCAGCACATGAGCTCCTTGCCTCACACAGCTCTCCCTGAGTTACGATCCCATTTGACTGTTTATTTAGGAGAAGTCTGAAAACAGGAGTGAACATCACGAAAACTGAGTGTCCAAAATCTGACAGTGTCAGAAAGAAGCTGCAACTAATGTGCTGGAAGTATGAATGTTTTCGTATCAAAACAATGTTGCATTGAAGAACTCGTGCAAAGAGTCTGCTTATACAGAAAGGTACACTAGTTTCAGCTAAGAAATTTACACACTCCAACTATGACAGAAAAAATCATGTGATTATTTCATAAAAAGGTATTTTCCTAATTCTGCTCATGTCAACTTCAACTCTCCTCTCAGGACAAGTGACTTCTTCAGATTAAGAAGTGCCTGGACTGGAAAGTTATGCCGGCACAATTAAAGAACTCCACTTACACTGGGATCAACCACATAGCTGTAACCACAAAACAAAATGCTGAAAAGCCCTAATATGAACATTGTAAAAATCCTGTCCTTCAGGTCTTGGTTTATACCCATTAAACGAAATTTCATTTTAGATGGGTGCATATAAATTTTATCTTATTCTCTCCCATTAAAATCTGTGTTGGATGAAACACGAGGAATTGTTCAAAACTAAAAAGTAAGACAATAGGCATAAAAGATAAATAGAACAAGAGATAACCAGAACCCAAATATCCTGTTCAAAGTCCTTGTCCTGCACTGCATTACATTTATCTCTTTCTGAATGAAATAGTGATTTTAACTGGTGTTCCCAAAGCATGATGGTTTGAGTTTTCATCTTTTAGGAAAGCAGGAAAAGGACTTATTAAAAAAACAGAATAGCAGCTGACATCTACTCATCACCCCTGGTAAGGTGTGAGCAGCACAGTGCACATCCCAGTGGAATGGATTTAAAGTTGAGAGCCAGCAGCCTATTTCTCCCTCATTTGCCAAAGAACATCTAGGCACAATTCCAGACTTTTGTTTCCCTTACAATTGATGCTGCATATGCTTTAATAGGCAGTGGGTATGCAGTTATTCACCTGAATAAATTATTTTTTTTTCTTACTCTTGGATTTGTTTTGATTACTGTGCTCACTAGCGCTAGGCCTGTTTTAATATTTATTAAGGTAACTGGTTTCCCGTGAAACCATTTGGAAATTTAAGCTGATCAAAGTGAACTTCTCCCCAAAAGATGAAGGAGGAAATTTCTATTCAGAATCAAGCTGGCATCTGCTTTTGTATGAAGAAGCAAAAAGCGCTAAATATACTTGTAATTTTACATCAGTGATGGGGCAAATTTCACTCTAAGAACTGTTTGAGTTTGATTCAGAATTTCTGTCTCAGCTCAAAACACACCCAGTAAATGCTCCTCTTGTTCAGGTGTCCCCAGGGTAACACAGGGGTGTCCTGGTCTCTGTTGGGACAGAGTAATTTCCTCAGCAGCTGGTACAGGGCTGTGTTTTGGATTCAGAATAGGAATCATGTTGGTAAGACACTGATGTTTTGGTTTTTGCCAGGCAGAGTCTATCCCAAGTCAAGGACCTTTTTTGTGCGTCTCATGCTCTGCTGGTGAGGAGGTACAAAAAAGAAACTGGGTGGGAGCACGGCTGGGACAGGTGACCTTAACTGGCCAAAGGGAATTTCCACACCACAAAACATCATTCCCAGTGCATAAACTGAGGGAGTTACCTGGAAGAGGCAGATCTGGGCTCAGGAAGGGGGGTCTGGCATTGGTCAGCAGGTGGTGAGCTACTGCATTGTGAATCACTTGGTTTATTTTCTATCCCTTTTTATTACCATTATTATTTACTATTACCATTATATTTTATCTTGTTTTCAATTATTAAACTGTCCTTATCTCAACCTACAAGTTTTACTTTTGATTCTCCTCCCCATTCCACTGGGCAGGGGTAGGGGGTGAGTGAGCAACTGTGTGGTGCTCAGTCGCCAGCTGGGCTTAAAGCAGGACAAAGGCTCTCCACAAGAGCTGTATTTCTTTTATCATAACGGGAATAAAAATCATCTCAACCTGTCAGTGCCAGTGTCTCCAGGTCACTTACAGGCCTACAAGGCTCAGTGAGTGCCAGGGCACCAGGCTAAAGGAACCCAATGCCGAACTAAGACTTTATTGCAGCAAATACCAGACAGAGGAGCGAAGACTCCAACTTCAGTGAGAAGTGCATGCAGTAACCTGCTTGCACGGAGCTGCTGTCCTAAAGCTCAATACGGTTCGATTCAAGCACCTGTCTAATTGGACACGCCACAGAAACTTTGTTTAAACCACGTTCGCCCAGCGCGACCGGGTGTCATTCACTGCAAGGCCACCTGCACCACCCAGGGCAGGGGCAGAGGGCTGGACGGACACTGGGCAGCCCCTTCTGCTCCTCGTCCCCCGGGGAGCCGGGCAGGAGCTCGGAGATGCGCCTGAACCCAACCAGCACCACCCCGGGCGGTCCTGGGGCGGCACCAGGGGCCGCGCCGAGGCGGGAAGGTCCATGTGGGAGGGGAGAGCCGGTCCGGCCCCCAGTGCAGAGCCCTCCCCACGGCCTATGCCCATGTCCCCGTGCCCGTGCCGACCGCGGGCGCAGGGAGGGGCCGTGGCCGGGGGCGCCCCGCAGGAGCGGCGGACGCTGCCCCCGCTGCCCGCCCGGCCCGGCCCGGCACAGGAAGTCCCTCCGCCCGCTCCTCCTTCGCTCAGGCGGCGGCGGTGGGGCCTGCGCGGCGGGGCCGCGGCTCCCATGGCGGCGGCGGCGGCGCTTCCCGCGGGCACGGCCGGGACCGGGACCGGGATCAGGATCCGGGCCGGGATCGGCAGCGGCCGCTCCCCCCCTGCTCTCCCTCACGGCCCCTCACGCGCTACCCCCCCCCACTCCCGCCCTTTCCCCGTGAGGCGGCGCGAGCCTCGAGCCCGCGCGTGGCAGGCGGACGCTCCCACAGTACCCCCCCCACGGCGGGGGGGGACCTGGAGGGGGGTTTGAAGGAGAAGGCGGGAATAATCCGAGGGATGACCCGGTACCTTGGGGTCGATGTCTCCCACCACGAAGAACTTGACATCTTTGAACATCTCCTCCGGGACTTTCAGCTCCTCCTCGTCGTCCGCCAACATGGTCCCGGACGGCAGCCCCGGGCGCTCCCCCGCGCCGGCTCCCCGCTGATCCCCCACGCTCGCCGTGAAGGAGCCGCCGGGGCCCGGGTCTCTCGCGTCCCCCTCCCCCCGCCGAGCCGCCGAACCGCGCGAGCAAGGCGCGCGCTGCGGGACACACCATTCCCCGCCGGGACGCGGGGGGGGTGGAAGGGAGAGGGGAGTGCCGCCAGCACGAAGCGGCCCCCTCCGCCCGATCTGCCACCACCGCTGCCGCAGGAAAAGGCCCGCTCCTGATCCACGGGCTCTATCCCTGCTCCTTCCCCTCTCTCCGAACCGGGCCAGGAGGCAGCATCCAGGCCCGGCGCGCCCCCCGCGCGGGGTGCAATGGACTCGCCGCGAACGACAGAGGCGGGCAGCGGGGATACCCGGCCCCGCCCATTGGCGAGAGGCACGGGCGGGGGGGGGGGGAAGGGAGCGAGAGCCTCCGGCCCCGCCCCCCGGGGCAGGTTCGGCCCCGCCCCGGCTCGGCCCCGCCTCCTCTGCGACAGGCCCCGCCCCTCAGTCCCGCCGTGAGGGGGCGGGGGCGATGGCGGCGGGTCCCGCGGTTGTGGTGTGTGTTCCAGCACCCACCTCACTTATGAACGTACTGGCTGCTCCCGAAATCACGGAACAGAGTCGCCAAGGTTGGAACAGACCCATAAGGTCACCGAGACCAACCGAAATCGGGCGTTTTTCCCTCACAAGCTGACTCAGAGCATCCTTCTACGTTCACAGTGAACCATCCATGCCTAGAGGGGGATGTGCCTTACCTAACTTTAAGATAACAGAAAACAGAAATCACCACTTGTATCAGTTATAGAAATGAGCGCTTTCACAGCCTGATTCATCTGGCATAGTTTAAACATCCCTGCATTGACAGGGGTGTTTATAACATAAATATAAAATATTGTATGTTATTATATAATATATTTTATATTAATATTGTTATTATTATAGATATTATTTAAATATTGCCCCCATACTCAAGTGTGATGGTATGAGGTGGCATTGAAAGGCTTACCGAAATAAAAATACAGGACACCTATTGTTTGCCTCTTGCCTGCCAAGGCCTGTCTCACTTTCCCAGGAGAAAACTGGATTTCTTTAACTTGTGTTACTCTTCAAACTACGGCAGAAAAAAATCGGTTTACATTTAATTTACATACTTTTACTTGATATAATTTTACTGGATAAAGTTATGTATCCAGTTTTATTTACGCAGTGTTCTGCAGGGAGTTGTATAGTCTACAACATGTAGTATACAAGTTCTTAGCTTCCTTCTCACCCTTTTCTCACCCACCTTTCTTCTGCTCTCCTGGATCTCCACATAACATCTTTCCCTTTCTACTCCAGCTATGTAAGAAATACCCAACCTATCACCTGTTCTTCCCCTACTCCAGAAACAGATTTCACCCTTTGATTGCAGATTTTATTGTTTTGCCCACCCTCCCAATTAAAATCTACTTTTTAAAGTTAAAATCCAAGTAAAAAGTCCTTAAACTGTTATATGACACACTTTTTTTTTTTTTTTTTTTTTTTTTTTTTTTTTTTTTTTTTTTTAGTGCAGGAAAAGAAGTAGAGATAACCATCTGCTTTTAAATCCATTTTTCCCTTTCATTCAATAATTCATACTCCCTTTCTATCTTTTCTAATAACCCTTGTTTAGAGTAATTTTCTTCTGTCCATGTATTTCTTAGACTGTCCTTGAAAAACACTTCTCTGAGCCTTGCTTTCCTTTATAGCCCCTCTCCAGGCCCGTAAGTCCAGCCTTTGCTTTCTTAGTTCCATAATTTTCACTCTTTCCAACTCCATTTTTGATCCATTTTGACTTCTTTGCACTAAATTAGAACTACTTTGACCAAAATCTTCATTCACCTGCAGCGAAACATTTTTCTTATTCTTCTTGATCTATTAGATATCATTTACACCATTGCTTCCCAAGTGTCCCTTCCTATTGGATTTCATTGCCTCTGTAATGATCTGCATCCTCCAGCACTGGTAATTTTCACCTCTTTTCTTTGATAAATATCACTGTCTCTCAGGTCTCTGTTCCACATTTTTCTCTGAGTTCTTTTCATGTCATTCATTACTTGGCTTCATCTTTCTCAGTGTGATTTATAAATTGCCCCTTCTCACAGGAATTACTTTCCTTATATCTAATCCCATTCACTGTCACATATTACCACTCCACACAAAGAAAACCAAAGCTTTGTCCTTCAAGGGGTTTGTCCTCTTGATTTTCCTCCTTAGACTATTTTCCATGTTACTGTAATGAGTTCCCCTGGCTTTCCTGTCCTTTAGGTTTTCCATAGTCATATCACTTTTGGTTCTTCACACAACTCTAAGATTACAAGTATGTCAAATCAGGTGTTATGCTAACACTGACAAAGAGCACAATGCAAACAACCAGCACACATTTTTCACAATAATGCCCCTTCCCAAACTTTCAGATGGAATTCATGTGCTATTGCAGCATTGGGTGGGACAACCTTGGATCTTCCATTTGTTCAGCTAGTCAAATCAGTAGAGTATAAGATGAACTAGGTATTTTTAATCACAACAATTTGAAAATTCTCTAGCAATACAAGTCAGATTATGGTGGTAAATCATTGAAATTCACTGCAAAAGCAGTTTTCCACCAAAAAACAAACAAACAAAAAACCACAAAACCAAACCCCAAGCCACATAAAAAAAAAAACCAAACAAAAATCCCCCAACAAACAAAACCAAAACTAAACCAAACCAAAAAAATTTATTAAATTAATTTTAATTACCCTTAAGGGTAAGGGTAATTGTCCTTTTCAACTAATTATGACCTAAATCCAAGAATGAAGCTTAATTTCATCCCCAGTATGGAAGTGTAATGGAATGTGAAAAATAAAGAAGAGATTGTTTAAGAATTAGCTAGAATAGGTTTACCAAAAGAAATTTATTTTATAAATTTTGAACAGTATAGAAAAGATGAAGCTTTTGTGGCCCTGACCTAGGATGTGCAGTGTGAACATTTGGGTCTGTCCTTCTCTTCCTGACTGGATTAAAAGCAACTTCACGGAGGCAAAAGGTAGGGATGGCCACTGGATGCCTCAGTCCTCTGGATGTTCTTTAACCCCAAAGCCTTTGATAGAAATAGGGAAAATGAGACCATCGCATCCTCCTTCCACCAAATGAATAAGCCCTAAAAGCAGCTCCTGGACAGAGCCCTGGAGCTGTGCTTGGTGAAAGAGGGAGGACTTGGAAAACCTTGCCCGAGCTCGAGCAGATGTCTCTAGGTTGACCAGCTGTGCAGGACAGACAAAACAAAGGTGTTTCTGTATGTGCCATGAAACAACGTGCAGCAGCAGGTCTACAGAAAACTTGTCTGGCAGCAGCTTAGACACCTGTCGGTTTTAGTGGCCCCCGAGAAGTAATTTTTAGATCTCAGTGTTGGATTATGGGTCACACAGAGTGGCTGTTGTATTATCAGCAGTGATACTAATCTTCATACACAGGAGTATCTTTATTTACAATTTTTTTGGCTTCAAGATGACCACCCCCAGGAGTAAAGAGTACTCATGAGTACTTTTCCCCCTTACTCACAGATTTTCCCCCTTAATTATCTTCTAAATAAGCAGTAGAGTTAAATTAATGGACATATGTTTTTACTTCTTTATGTATTTCACAAGTCACCTGTCACAAAGTTATTTAAATTCTAGTAATTAGACTACTTCTAACAAAAATTAATAGCTCCAATTTCTGCATCATGTGTGTGATCTTGTTTACAAACCATAAGAGCAGAAAACTAGATTGAAAAAGTGTGCTATTGAACAGGAGGAACATGCTACTGAACAAGAAAAATACCCCCTGTATTTGCCAGAAACAAACTGTGGCTGCTGCTCACACGTCAGCACACAGAACTAAGTCAAATCAGGGGATGGTCTCACTGCTTAGTCAAAGCCAGGTGTACAATAAAGCTCTCTCCTGTACCAGACCTCAATATGGGTTTGTTAGGTTATGACATAAAGCTCATCTGCACAAGCTCAGAGCAACAATGGAAAGAGGAGGAGGCCAAATAATACTCTGCAAGGCGCTCCCAGGCCCTTCCCAGGGACCATCAGCCCATGAAAGGCCTGTCTGCATAAGGCAGAGGGGTGGGAACCCAAACCAAGGTACCACAAGGTACTTCCGTTCTGTCCAGGACCAGCGGGAGCAGGATAACACCATTGGTGCTGTCCCTGTTGCTGTGAGTGCTCTGGAGGTGTCTGTGATGTCTGTGGCTGGCCACGTACATAGGTGTGTATGTCACCTAGATGTGTGTGTGCCAGCTGGGAATACAAGTATAGCCTCACTCCTGGTTGGACCTGGAGACACGGAGCGGCAGCAGCCTCATCTCAGTCCTGTGGGATTCAGGACAATACATTCTCTTCCAACTATTCATTCCTCCCCTTCACTTCACCCTCTTTCAGACAGCTTTGCAGCCTGTCCCTGTCACATCACTGGGCCTGTGCCCACCTTGTCACATGGGATGCTCAGTCACATGGTGACACGTCCTTGTTTCGAGCCAAGCCACTGTTGGTAGGTCTGGTCACAGCACACAGGGCTGAGAGTGGTTGAAAGGAACTTTTGCAAAAAAAAGGTTCTGAGGACGTGGCAGAACTTTAGTCTCTCCTAGAAACACCCAAGAGCAGACTCTTACTTTACATAGCCCCTCTGCTGTGATGCAGCCACAGTATAATTGCCATGGGAGCAACCACTGGGAAGGGTCAGTTATGCCTTAATACTTTTATTTCTGAGTTTAGTTACTCTGCTGAACAGACTGAACAGAGATGGTGCACATCACAATGGTCCACAATGATCTGAACAGCACATTATCTGTGCTATGAACACACACAGTGCCTAATTTAACTGTGAGAGCTCTGTGCATAAGAACTTTATGACCATGCTTCCAGGAAAGCTGTGAAATAATCTAATTTTTGTAATGGGCGTTGCTTGCATGTAGTGTAAGCCCACTGAGCTGACAAGATTTGTGCAGACAATTAGTCTTTGCTTACATAAATGCCTTATTTGTGTGCACAAATGATTATATGAAAAATTCATACACACCTACAGT